TTGTATTTACATGTGATTCGTATCTGTTACAGTTTTTAATGTTCCTAAATTTTTCAGATGGGTTCCTACTATGGCTATGCAGTGGCTGCTACTGACATAAACAATGATGGGTAGGTAAACACAACCAGGTTCAGAGAAGAATCTAGCAATGTGTTCAGTGTTTAAGTTTGTGGTTTGTATCACCTCCAGGATGACAGACCTGCTGGTTGGCGCACCAATGTTCATGCTTCGTGACTCTGATGGGAGGTTGGAGGAGTTGGGTCGGGTCTATGTGTACATGCAGAACGGACCTCTGGATCTCCCACCTCAGCTACCTCACCTCACCGGCACACAGACGTTCGGCCGGTTTGGCAGCTCCATTACCCCTCTCGGAGACCTCAACCAAGATGGTTACAACGGTGAGAGATTTGCCCAGATTTTAGCATTTGTTTGTCAGTCAGTCTTTAAACAACTGTATTGGTTATCAGTCGATATTGGATTTTTTTCTGTTGGTTTTGGTTGTTATTCGATAGCTATCGGGCTATATTTAATTGTGGGTGTTCAGTTCCCTCATTTTTTTTCTTTTAGATTACCTTTACTGTTGTCTAACTGTAGAGCCATTTTAGTACCATTCAGATACTAATTCAGTTTTTTATTAATATTTTGAATCAGTTTTTATTTTTAATCTTAGTTAACGTTTAAATAAATGTTTTTGTCTTCTTTGTAGTTTTTAGTTTTTTTTTTATTTATGTCTATATTGTTTTTATTTATTTTTATTTCAGTTTTTAGTTTGTTATTTTAGTACATCAAGTTAAACTAAATTGAGAAATTTTGCCTTGGCAACTAGCTGAATTAAAAAAAATTTATATTTCTTATTTTCAGTAAACATTTATTTTTTCAAGTAACGCAAATGTTTTAATTGATTTTCAGTTTTTTAGTTTGACTTTTAGTCAACAATAATAACCCTCACCACTCACTTGAATTAAATCTTTAAAAACGCGAATAATGTTATAACATTGTTAAATGTAATCTTAAAATGAATATCCATCTTTATACTGTATATTATAATGTTGTGATGCCTAAATTCACTTGTAGCATTTTTAATTATTTTTTTTTGTGTTTCATTTGTAATTTTTTTAGACAGAATAATGTAGAATTTTTATATCTTCCATTTTTCGGTTAATGACTAATTAGAGTTTTTTTTTTTAGAGTTTTATTTTTAAAATATTTAGACTAAATAATATAGACCTTTAATTTCTGCTGTTTATCGGTTATTACCTATAACATGAAAGTAAGTACATTTTTTTGCACCTCTAATTCTACAATATTCTCTTAACAGACGTGGCCATCAGTTGTCCGTTTGGTGGGGAAAACAAACAAGGACTGGTGCTCATCTATAACGGACATGCTGGAGGACTCAGGGAAAAGCCCTCTCAGGTGATCGCTGGCCAATGGGCTTCTGCCACACCGTCAGCTCTACCTGCCAGTTTTGGTTACGCCCTTCGTGGAGGCAAAGACCTGGATAATAATGGCTACCCAGGTGAGAAAACCTAGTCTTTTTAGCTACCATAAACCACTGCCACTGCTGCTGAAATCTAGTCTGATACCATGTTTTTTTCTTCTTGCAGATCTTATTGTTGGCGCATTTGGTGCAGACACTGCCGTTCTTTATAGGTCAGTCACAAACATGAAGACTAGAGTAATGGCTGCTGAAAATTAAGCTTTGCCATCACAAGAAGAAATTACCTGTTAAAATAAATACTTCAAATTGTAATAATGTTTCACAATTTTACTATTTTTTACTGTATTTTTGATCTATTAAATACAGACTTTGTGAGCAAAAGAGAATTCATTCAAAACATTTTTAAAAATCTTACCGACTTCAGTATATCCTATTAAAATTTTAATCATAAAGCTATTTAAAATGCTTTTGAGTGCAGACTAAATAATTTAGGATATTATGTAATTTCCAGGTCTCGTCCTATTGTGAACACCAGTGCTACCTTGACTGTATATCCAGCTATGATTAATCCTGAGGAGAAAGTTTGCACCATAAGCCGTGGGAACGAAACCCTGCAAGTGTCCTGGTATGTCTGCTATCTTGTATCAGCTAGAATTTGTTGCATTCCTGGTCCAAAGCAGTAAATAGATTTTATTAGACTGTTTATCCAAATCCTAAACATTCAACATGCAATAATATGGAAAAAGATCTTTCACATTTAACATCATTTAAGTGGCATTAAAGTGCACTGTAGGAATTTTAAAAAATCTAATTTAGTAAATAAAGCTTACTTCATTACATCCACAGTTGGGCTTTGTATGTCAGGCTGGACATATGGAAGGGTGTAGTTATGCTGTCAGCAAAGGCTTTTCCAAATAGTTTGGACACGCTATGCTGGTTGAGGGTGAGCCAAGAAGGTGGCGAAAAGCATGAAATGCCCTTTTCCCAACTCCACGACATGCATTTTTGAAATATGCGGCCTATCTGTGGAGGGAAAGGAAACTCCGCTGGGCTGGTCTCTCTCTGACGTGAAATGTCAGTGTCTCCGCCTGTTCTGTTTTATACAGGGAAAGTTTGTATACGTATGTGTTGATTACAAGTCGTTGCCTAGGCACAGAGGCTTTTGGGAGAAATTAGAGAGCGAGAGAGAGGGAGAAAGGGATCTAGCAGTGGCTTTGAATGAGATATTGTTTAGTGGTGGAACACAGCTGGGAAACATCAGGACGCAATGAGCTGCACATGCATGTAAGCTCACACACACACACACACACACACACACACACAGACAGATGTATACTGAGGCTTAGAAACACACATGGGAACACTGCGTTTATTGCACAGGTCAAAAGTAGCCTGGATTGTGATTTTTCTTCTTTTTTTCTTCAGTCTTTCACTCTTCCCCTTCTGTGTCTTGTTTCTTTTGTATGTTTTGTGTTTCTTTTGGATTCTTTTGTTGCTTTTTCTTCTTTTTTTGGAAACTTTTTCAGTTCTTTCTAAAATGAAATTCTTTCATTCATTTAAACTGTCATTCAAACTTTTTTTTTTAATTTTCTTGATCTTTTTTTTTTAGTTTCTTGCTTCCTTTCAGTTGAACTCATTTATTTTCCACAACATATTAAGCAGAACAACCATTTTCAACATTGATAATAAGAAGTGTTTCTTAAGTACCAAATCAGCATATCAGAATGATTTCTGAAGGATCATGTGACACTGAAGACTGGAGTAATGGCTAATGAAAATTCAGCTTTGCCATCACAGAAATAAATTGCATTTCAAAATATATTAAAATGGTTGACAAAATGTTAATAATATTCCATAATATTGCTGTTTTTACTATATATATTTTTTTTATCAAATAAATGCACGCTTGGTGAACACAATAGACATCTTTCAGAAATTGTACATTACATCAGTTTCCAGCACAGACGTGATCCTTAGCTGTCCTGTTTAAAAACATCTTCACATATGTTTGTGTGATCCATTATACTATAGTCATCCTTCCTTCAAGCTGTCAAGTGTTATAGCCTGAGGAAACAATAATAGCAAATATTTCATAGCCAAAGAGTTTCTCTCTCAATGTGTTTCTAATGCGTAATAAATCCACTTCATCTCTCATCATTTGTCTGCTCTGCTTCTTACAGTGTCAACCTGAGCTTTTGCCTCTCAGCCAATGGGAAGCACCTACCAAATCATCTCGGTAAGCCACATCTGCTCCTGTTTACCCACCTGTTGATCCCCTTTGCAAATAGTATTCCTTTTTAAATAAGCAACCACCCAGAACACTAGTCACGCTCTTACAATCACCTGTAACACCCGTGCATTGTGGCATTTATTCTTGGACTTAATTTGACATAATGTCCCTCACAACCTAAAATAAATCTGGTTTTAGGCATCTAAAAGAGCCTTCATGTTTCCCATTCCATCCATAAGCCGTTCTTTGTACATACACGACCTTTACAATGCATTTATTCAGCAATTACTTCCCTCCGTTTCCCCCTGGGCTAATGATAGCACCATATGCCCTGCCATTAGAGGCCTAGACTATGTTGTGTGAAGAATAGCACCTACTGCACACGCTCAGATAACTGAGCGCAGGTGCCCAACATACATCTGAACGGCATGCAAATTCCTTCATGCCCTCACGACTTTCTATCAAAAGCATTATGGCTCTTCTTATGGCCATTCTCTTCAGGTGTTGGATAATGATAAAAACTAAATGTTTGGAAGAAGTCTTCACTCTTGCCAAAGCACAAAGTTCAGATCTACCCAATAGGCTTTGAGATTTAGTGCTGTGTCAGCTTGGCTCCGTCCTGCACCTGTATGCTGGAGCCAACGTGAAGGCATCGTGCCCATAACTTTTCTAAATCTATCAGACAATGTGTGTGTTTTGTAGAGTTTAACGTTGAAGTTCAGCTGGACCGGCTGAAGCAGCCGCAGAAGGGGGCCGTACGGAGAGCTCTGTTTTTAGACACCCAGCTTCCCGCTCTGCAGAGGACTCTGACTGTGCCAAATGGAGCCAGAGTCTGCAGTGACACCAAGATCTTCTTGCGGGTGAGTTTGACCCCAGATTACCTACAAAAGCAGGACATTAATGGTGCACTAAATAGCAGGGTTTTAGACTTGGAGTTCAAATTTGATGACTTGCACCTCGCCTTTGACAGCAATGACTCGCGACTTCCCTATCTTGAGTCTAGACTTGAATGCATAGATTCAAGACTTGACTTTGGACTAGAATGCAAAGAAATTGGGCTTTCATGTGACTTGCAGAAAAATGACTTGGTTCGACTAAATAGTATATACAGTAGATAAAAGTTGAATATAAAATGTCCTAATGTGGCATTCAGAAGACTGTGAGCCAATGAGAATTAAGAGTAGGTGGGACTAACCATTGGAAACATTGAGGGGAAAAATAACCTGCATCATTTTAGTGAGTTAATTTTCCATTTCTTAGTACAAGATAAGTGTTAAAAGTGAAGATAAGTAAGATAAGTGTGGCAACTGATGCCAAAAATGCAGCAAGGGATTAAGAGTCGTTTCGTCCTGCTTTCTGACCTTTCTCACAAACTCCCGCTCTGTTTTCCTCTCTGTTGGAGTGTAGGATGAGAAGGACTTCAGGGATAAGCTGTCGCCCATCTTCGTTGCGCTCAACTTCAGCCTGAACCCTCAAGCTGCGGCAGACAGATACGGCCTGCGGCCCATCCTTAACTACCAGACAGCAGAGCTCATCGAACAGAAAGTACGTTCATCTGCTGCTGCAGATATCCCACAATGCTTTATGTGAACAAACAAAACAAAGGTTTTGCATGGAGCGGTACATTCTTCTCCTCCTTTATGAAGAGATTTTCAAAACATACATCTGGGATGTTCTCCAAATTGTCTGGAAAGCCATTTGAGAGCTGAAGGCAATGTGCAGCGTGTACGGCAGAGAACTTTTCACTGTCCCACCAGGAGTAGGTTTCACTCCTACTGTGGAGGTGTGTGTGCGTATAGAGGGTTAATAGAATTCAGTTTTTTTCCTGGCAGGTTCTCGCAGGCCATATGCCGTCTGTTTAGGTTTAGCTTTTTGGGTGGCAGTTTTCTTTCAGTAGTTATTGAGACCGTGCCGAACACATGGGCCGCACTGACCATATGCAGAAACATTCTAATCCGAGGTCTTGGAAACATTGCAGATGGAACGATCTTCTAAAACTTTTGCTTATTCAAGCCAAAAAACGAAGTGGAAGCCCTTTTATTCATGATAAATGAGAGTGTCAATTATAAAGAAAGGGGAAAATAATTTAAAACCCTAGTTTAAAACGCACATGCCAAGATTTTAGAAAGTTACTTTGTGTCCACATTGGTTTTATACTGTTTTAAATTACACAACAACAACAACAAAAAAATGTAATAATAATAAAAATTTCTTCTTATTCTTCTTACCCTATTGTTATTAAAGTTACATATATTTTTATAGAGTACAAATATATAAAAATATCATAAATTATTCTTAGAGTAATTAAATGAAAAAATATATATTTTTAATACGTTTATATTTTTAAATATTATATAAATATACAAAATGTTAAAAAAATAATAATGATGATGATGATAATGTTACCACAATATATTTTATAGAGTATTATTATTACATAAATATACACTATTTACAGCAATTTATAACAATAATGAAAAGTCATATTATTATTTGTATTAGTATTTATATTATTTTCTAATAAAAAAATAACTATGTCAAATTTCTAAGGACTTTCTTTTCAAGAATTAATGGAAAAAATTTAATAAATCTGGTGGGGGGGGGGGAAAGTGTATTTGTTGTCTTTATTTTCAGGGGACTATAGGTGTGAGGCCCCGTATTCATCTTGCCTATAGATTGAGATGTTTTGGACCTCCTTTTATAAATGTTGTTAGTGATCCCACCAGGTGCCCTCCAGTTTGCTTACCCAATCATGCTGTTTGTAGACCTTAACACTTCCGTAAACACTTTATGGTGGTTTTGGCTGTGGATCAGCTTGGACATATGCACATGTGACCCTCTCTTGTATCTCTGCTCGGGCTTCTAATTGTTTGGTTGCTCCAGTGAACCCAAACAACCCTCTCCAGGAGGTTCGGAGCGGCCCGATACAGAGCTATGGAAAGGGGTGGCCGCCCTCATCGGTTGTAATTAGAGCTCAGCAACTGCTAATTACAGGGAAGCCACTTTGCCCTTTCTAATCTCCCTATTCTATTTTCTTATCCTCATCGTCATGTTGCGTCAACCTTGCACATGTTGGAACCACTTGCACCACTTTCCCCTTTTCTTTATGTCTTCGAGTCATTCATAAATTGTATATAGATTCTATCTCATTAATGTGTGTGCTTTATGCAATGTGTATATATTTATATTTGTCTGTGTGGTGAGAGTTGGGTGGTGTCGCGTGCAGCTAGCATGTGGTTCAGGGTCGGCAGCCTCTGATGTGGATGTTGGTGGCGTATAGAACAGCCTTATGGGTACAACCATAGCTCTTTATCCCTTCAAGTGAGCTCTATACGTTTTTTGAAGCCTGTACACATCTGCTCTTCAACCCAGTATTCATTTAGCAGTGTTTACTAATCTAAAACCTAGCATTTTGTAGGCTGAGGAGTGATGTTTACGATTGCAAACGGCAATGTTTATATTCATTTTGTTTATATTCGGTAGTGTATTAGGTATCAATATTCTTTGACCATTACATGGTCATGCGCTAACACTTGACCTAAGTGAACGCACTGTTTATAATGCAGCCGGCCTCTGCTGTCTGTTCTTTGCAAATATCTTCAGAGTGCTTTGTTTGGATTTTTGAAAAAAAGCTATTTCATAGTGCAAGTAGTTTGAAGTTTCATGGGAATTTGTAAGTATGTAAAGGTTTATTGGATTTTTTTTTCTGTGTGTAAACTGCCTAGAGATGTTTAGTTGGGATATTGGTTATGGGAAGTGTGACTAAAATTATGCTTATTATAGGGCGATGATGCCTGAATGACATTAGAGACACTGGATTGCAGGTGGTATCCTGTATATGATTAAGAAAATGACTGGAGAATCTCAGACAGCTTCTTTTTTAGATCACATTGTTCGTAAGCGAATGGCTTACTTTCTATTTTTACCCTTTAAATCAACAAGAAATTGAAATTGACCCCGTTTACTTTCTAAAGGTGCGTTCCTGGTCTTATTGTAAATTATATGTTTGTTTGTTTATGCATTTATATACTCTAAAAATATTAATTAATTTGCTGAATTTCATTTTTTTTTTTAAATAAAAAATAACATGAAAGATAATGCCAAACTTCTAAGGCTTTTCTTTTTAATACATTTATGCCCGCCACATATTTATAAAAATTACTTTTAATTCAGAATTTTAAAACATTCTTGTCGTGAATTGCATTTTTAATGTATTCTGAAATGAATAGATCTCGAAATGAATAGAAGTCTGTATTTGCATATAACTGTAGATCTTTCTGGCTTTATTTTGGTATGTAATGCCCACTTTTCACCATCCAGTCAATTCCTGAAATATAAAATCAGGTCCCAGGATATTCATTTTCACTTATAACAAGTCGATTCTGAATCTAAAATAGGTTGCAAATTAATGACTATAATCTCTCAGTAACTTATCTTAACATTTTTTTGGCTTGTGTTCTAGGCCCAGATTTTATTGGACTGTGGAGAGGACAACATCTGCGTCCCTGACCTGAAACTCTCTGTGCACGGGTAAGATGATTAGCAAGGAATGCAAAAAACTAATAAAAGCCTGGAGATTAGTGTGCTTTTTGCAAAGTTTGCAATAAAGTCACGTATGAAGTAAAATGGCTATTACAGCTACTGTTTAGATTAGATATTTGGATAAATATACGTGACGAGTCACAGCTTTTAGAAAGTTGGACAAAGTGTTCCCAGGTTAGATTAGTGACACACACATGGACAGATACACAGGAAAAAAACAGGAAGGCTATGCACAGGTGCTGGGATTGTCAGACTTGGCTGGCTTGTGGAAAAAAAAAACTACATAGATGAGGCGGATAAGTTTGGAAAATTTGGAAATCACTGTGGCCCCCTTTTCCCTGCAGTTACAATGGCAGTTTCCTGCAGTTGATTTGTAAAATCTGTGGGCATTTTCTCTCTCTTTTATTCACAGATTTGTTTGTATCTGTTGTTATTCTTCGACTGTCTTACCAAGAACCTTAGAGATTTGTTGCGTTTGTCTTAGGTCACATGTTTATTAAACTGTGGAGGGTATTAATTTTCTCCACAGAGTGATTTGGATTTTCTTGTCATTCAACAAGCAGAGGGAATAGTATCTCTTGGAAATTCACTCGAGGGGTTATTCTTTAGGAGAAAATGTGAAAATGCATCAGAGATGCCTCGGACAACATGGCTATTCTTTAGTACCGCTGTCAGTATCTGCTTCCCGGGTCCAGATTTCTGTCAAATTAACTTGTACTAAATAATTTCCATGTGATTATTAGAACTTGCTGATGTTCATTTGTTGTAAGGGTCTTTATATTTATTTTGATTAGCCATTGAATGCGAATCATGACCTCCTTATGACATGAACCCAACCTCATATGTGTCATCTGGAGGGGTTTGTTATGAAAGTACAGCAAGCGATGGCTTCCACATAGGTTCGAGTCACCCACTAACCGAGTGCCAGCGTTTGAATTCAGTACGTGCCGCTTCCCCAGCATGGCTTTACGAGGCCAGGCGGTAATTGGAAGCGTCTGTGTGGCCCTCGCATGGAATTTCTCATTGTGTCTGAGATGTAGAGAGAAAAGAAAGGGGGGAGGGAATGCGAACGAATAGAAAAAAATGGGAACATTGCGGAATGTTTCACAGTCTTTGTCGTTGCATGTTCAACTTTATAGCTACAATGGAAATTAGGGTTTTTTAATAGGAAATGTGTGTACAGTGCTGGAGGAAGGGCTTCCTGTTGGAAAGATCTGAGTGATATTTACTGCTAGATCAGCAGAATTACATACAGTCAATGTCCTCTATGCTTAATACTTCACAGCTAGTTTCAAAACTACTACACAGATTTTAAATGGCCAGTTAGTGGTGCTTGTTAATGCATTGACTTAAACAGTGTTTGAAAGTACAATTTGTATATTTAGTATTCACCCTATAGACCCTATAGAAAGTAAATTAGCCGCCAGTGCATGAGCTTTACGTTTTGTTCGTGTTTTGGTTCCGCAGGGACAGGAAGGAAGTGTACATGGGCGATGACAACTCTCTGACCCTGACTTTCAATGCAAAGAACGACGGAGGCGGAGCTTACGAAGCCGAGCTGTATGTGGTCTTGCCACCAGAGGCCGACTACAGCGGAATAGCCCGCAATAACGAGGTGAGATATGGAGACCCTCCCTCCAGGTGCTGCCTATTACACGGACGTGTGCCAGACCCCGTCCATTAACTCCTACATGTGTTCAGCATTTCAGCTGAGAAAGACCTTTGTTCTGTTACTTTGATACTCCAGAGAAGACGTGTTTTTTATTAATGGAGACATGTGATGAGAAATCCTGTAGTGAGGCAAAAATATAGATTACTTTACATTTTAAGAAGGGGTAGTGCTTACAGGAGGAGTATGGGCACCAAACAGGGTCTGTTTTAATTAATTACTTGTACTTTTTTGTTAACCCTAACCCTGTGTGGGGATGATTTAGCACAAAAATGTAACATTCAGCAGTAGTACCACAATTATTTTAAGCAGGTCAAGACATGAGTCAGGGTTGTGAGTTATCACTATGTGTGTGTTTCCCAAAATGTACTGGTCTTTTTCTCTATTTCTCCGGACAGAGCCTGACCCAACTGACCTGCAGTTATGAGACGGAAAATCAGACCCGTTACCTCAGCTGTGACCTGGGGAACCCCATGAAATCAGGCACTAGCGTAAGCACCAAACTATTTTTTCTATTTGTGCGTATTTACACACTTGAGTGACTTGGGGTTAAAAGTGACCTTTTATCAAGTGCAATTGAATCTTACTGCTTTCCCAGCATATCTGAGAAATGTAAAATTGTTATTTGAACAGTCATAGAAATTAGTAGAATCTTATGAAGTCATGGATAAGTAAATAATTTTTATAAATCTATCAATCTATTGTTCTATCTTACAGTATATATAGTTGTAGTTAAGCTCAACTCTTTTTCCTTGGCTATAAGTTATTTTAAGGTGTCCTTGTTACAGTGTAATTGTACATTTAAGTACTGAGTAATGTTAATTAACTACATGCACTTACTATATGGTTAGGGTTTGGTTTAGGGTTACTTGCATGTAATTATGCATAATTCGTTGTTATTATAATAGCAAGTACATGTAACATGTGTAACAAGACACCTTAAAATAAAGTGTTACCGAAATTGCTTTTTGTGTGCGCAATCTCTATAAAATAATTTATGGTTATCCAGTTATCCTTTTCCAGTATTCACAAACGACTGGAAAAATCATGGAAATTCTGATTACTGACATCTAGCATTTAAAAAAAACAGGCCTCCAGCAACCATAATTGTGCCCTGTTAGTCACATAACCTTTATTATTCATCTAACCTGTGTTAGTCAGCTCGTAGTGCTGTCTGGGGGGCTTGTTGAGGGCTGTGTTGGATCATGTTTGGACAGGCAGGAAGTTCCCACCAGTGATGCAGGAAGTGACAGTCATTTTGGCTCTGCCCACTTAGAGAGTGGAGTTCCCCTCTCCAAAATGCCACTGTGTGGAGGTGGTGGGATCTGTGGTTTTTTAATGTGTCTGCAGAGATGGAGTATAATTGAGTGACTGTTCAAACTGCTCCCTGTCAATATGTGTTTCCAGATACCCCTGTCTGTTTTTTAGTCAGCTGCTCTCATTAGTTCGGGGCAGGTTATTTGGGTGTTTTATTCAGCAATTTTATTATTAATGCTATTATTTTTGGATTCCAGGACCACCTAAGAGGTTCCTCATAACAACTGGCCTGTATCTATAATAGTATCTCATGCAATGAGAAATTCAGAAATTACAGACACCCCACACACACACACACACACATGCACACTTGCACGGACACCCACACCCGAACTCTCACACACTGAGTGCTGATAGCCGCTCGTATGGGGTCTTTTTGCCAGAGTTTATGTGCGTGCAGTGGGAGCATAAAACCACAATTATAAAAGGGAGGCTGGAACTCCCATGCAGTCTGGGTTTGGGTAGGTGACTTCAGCATTTTAGGGTAGTAACTAAGTGGAGTGCGTTTGACAGTGCACCTAAACATGACATCACTAGATGAATGAGCGAGGATACGTTTTAGTGTTTCCACTTGTGTTTTTTGGATGGAATACAGGAAAGGAACATTCCACCAACCTCAACATCCATTCCGTTGCTATGGCAGTGCATTATGGGGGATTTGTCTGTTTAGAGAATTCTCTGGTTTAATTCTTGGAAAGCTGAAATTCAGTATTGTGACACTGCTAATATCGTTGGCTCCTTTATGAGAAACTGCTTGCATTTCTCTCATTTTTGGGTTGTTTAAATGAATGAATAAATTAATTAAATGTACTTGTATATGTATATGTACTTGTAGGAAGTGACTTTGGATTTATTTTAAATAAATTATGTTTTATTTTCAGTTATGGGCCGGACTGAGATTCACAGTACCACGTCTGAAGGACACACACAGATTTGTGCAGTTTGACCTGCAGATCCGTAGGTATGAAACTTGAAACCAACACACACAGCTTTAATGTTTTGTTGTGTTGTGTGTTGTGTTGTGTTGTGTTGTGTTTTTTTGTTTTGTTTTGTTTTGTTTTGTTTTGTTTTGTTTTGTTTAGTTTTGTTTTGTTTTGTTTTGCTTTGCTTTGCTGTGTTGTTTTTTTGTTTGGTTGTGTCTTGTTTTTGTTTGGCTCTGTGTTGTTGTTTGTTTTGTTTTGTTTTGTTTTGTTTTGTTTTGTTTTGTTTAGTTTAGTTTTGTTTTGTTTTGCTTTGCTTTGCTTTGCTGTGTTGTTTTTTTGTTTGGTTTTGTCTTGTTTTTGTTTGGCTCTGTGTTGTTTTAATTTTGTTTTGTTTTTTAAATAAACATTCACACTATCTACAGACAATTAAACTATATAGTAGCAAACATGAATAATTGCTTAGTACTTTTGCAAAGTAAAAGATCACGGTACCACTTTATTTTTAGACACCCTTGTTACACGTTACATGTACTTACTATTATAATAACAATACATTATGCATAATTACATGCAAGTAACCCTAATCCTAACCCTAACCATAGAGTAAGTACATGTAGTTAATTAATATTTCTCAGTACTTAAATGATTACTATAATTATACTGTAACAAGGACACCTTAAAATCACTGTTTGAATTGGGGAAAAAATAGTTTCTTATTTATACATAAGAAATGTATAAATAAATATATAAAATGTGTAAAGAAAATGTATATAAAGTAAATCTTATATAAAGAAATACACTTTTTTTTTTTTTATATATTTAAAAAACATATGATTGCCCATACAAAAATGGATTGATTGATTGATTATTAGTATTATTGTTTATCTATTTATTTAAAAATGTATTTCATATTGGCCATCATATACATTTTTAATTATACTGTAAGTGAGACTATTATGCTTCCTGATATATCATGCATCTTTAATATGGTTAGGTTAGTTGCACATGTCGTTAAAGAGGCCTTAGTATGCTCTTTAATAAGCTCTCCATCTCTCAATCTGCAGTAAGAATGAGAATAACTCCCAGAGTGAAGTCGTCCCCTACAAGTTGGAGGTGGTGGTCCAGTCAGATGTTATTCTACAGGGGTGAGTTCACATGCAGAACCCATTTATAAGCACTTCACAAGATCACTGCTCTTCTGGAACTCTCACTAGGAAGCTCCCCGTGTTCCTTCACTTTCTCATTTTCCCGTCTCTCTTTATCTCTCATTTTACAGTGTCTCCCGACCAGACAAGGTCTTCTTTCCCCCACCAAACTGGAAGTTGACCAAGAATGTGATGGTTGAACAGGATGTCGGACCCTCCGTCCAGCACACTTATGAGGTAAAGACCTTGTCAGTTGGACTTGAAGTCAGAGAGGCCTGTCATTGATAGGAATCCAGAGTAAAAGCTATAAATCCCTATGGTGTAATTATGGGATGTATGGTTGCCTAGCAACTAGCCGTTAAAATGCAATGTTTTAAATGTTAGCCCTGCCTGCTTTTTTTGAGCTAGAGACTTCAAATAATTTTAGTAAAACTTTCTTTTCATGCACTGCTTGTTAAAAACATTAATTAATTCATTCATATTTATATATTTAAACTTTTTATAAGCAGAAATAAAATAGACAGTCAATGCAATACCATTGTTAAAATGTGTTTGCTTGCAGTTTGTGATGGTTGCATTGTTCAGTCAGAGATTGTATTTTTTATTTTATTTATTAACACAGAAGTCACTAAGTCCATTTCATGTCGGTCAGTTCCGCTAATTGCTGCTTGCAGATTGGTTTCTTTATATGACACATACTTTCTGCTAGGGTTTTGCTGATGAGTCATGCAAATACTTTGCACATGTAGAGGTTGTCATGGAGAATCTCCAAAAGTTACACAGAGGTCCTAAAATAGCACAAGGCATCAAGCCATCCTTTTATGATGACCAGAGAGTCCAGAAACACCTGTGGAGTTACTTTAACAGCACGATTTAATCCTGTGGTTGTGATGATGTAATCATGAAAATGACAAGGCAGCAACCTGGATTTTAAACCAAAGGGTTTGAGAAGGATTATTATGACATACCATAGATTTTTGATTCATATCTCTGTCTTTCTCTGTACGTTTCTCCCTCTCAGTTGGTGAACAACGGGCCGAGCCGCATCAGTCACACTCTACTGCAGCTCAAATGCCCCATGAGGCTTCAAAGTAACAGGTTAATTTACCCGCTGGAGGTCACGACGGAGGGCCCTGTTAACTGCACCACCCACAACATAGTCAACCCCTTGAACCTCAAGGTAAGACGCTGTGGGTTAACCGCAGGGCAGAGATTTAATCAAAGTACGAACTGACAAAATAATTAAGACTGGGGTGCTTTCTGTCATTATGTGAACGACTTTGATCTGTGAGGCTTTTCTTTTAAAGCACCGTTCATGGGCGAACATGTCTGGGTCGTATTTCACCCATAATAAAAAAAAAAAGAAGAAAATAGATTTTACTTTAATTTGATAATATGTAATATTATATAAATATCATATTATCTAAAATAATAATATTTTTATGTATTTTGCTCCAAATGAAAGGAAGCTTATTTTTTTAGGACTATTTACATGTAGCATATTTCACCCATAATGGGGAAAAAAAGCAGAAAATAGATTTTACTTTAATTTGATAATATATACTATTATATAAATATCACAATATATAAAATAATAATATTATTATGTATTTTGTTTCAAATAAAAGGAAGATTATTTTAAGGACCATTACATTTAGCTAATTTTTGCACAAATTCTCATTATTGTAATGTGAAAAAAATGTAATATGCAGAAAATTGTATGAATAAATGTGAAGACATATAGTTTAATTAAAATAAAAAATTGTATTACTGCGTGTGTGTATATATATACTATTTTATAAGTATTTTTATACCATGGCAACATTTGTTTTTGCTAATGCTAATTATTTTATGTTAATTTTAATACAAATAAAGTAATTGCATTAAATTGTAAAAATATGTAATTGAGAATAATGACAATTAATGCTTGAGCACGTTATAATAATGATAATTTGAAGAGAAAATGTGCCTAATTGTAATAAAATTAACATCATGTAAAACGCCTTGATTGAATTAAAATATGCTTAGTTTTCTTCATTAAAAACGTAGCACGGAAAAATGACCCGGACATATTCTTGATAGGTTATTTCAAACTTATTCTTACAGGAATGTGAAACTGTTGTAATTTCTGCTGTAAAGACATTAGTGATGGGAGACTCACATGCAGTCATGTGAGGAGAGAACAGATGTCCATCAGAACATCATGAGCTCTTAAAAGGATTTAAACTTAAGGGACATCCGCTGTCAGTAACACCCAGTTTGTCCCATACAGTCAAATACATATGCCCAACACATGCACACACCACCCATCCATCCATATTTCCTAATATGTCCTTTCTTAGAGCCCACCCTGTCCCTCACACAGCCCCACCCATGGGCATTAAAGCAGCCTTTGATCCTCCTGCCGTACTCTCATCTCAATCTGCTCCCTTCATGCTTCACGTCCCACTGCTGTCTATATAAACACAGCCATCAGCTCAATCAGAGCTCTTTTTAAAAGACCCCTCTACAACGTCTCTCTATCTCACTCTAGGGTTATACAATCTATGATCTGAAAAAGTGTGGGTCACATGTTATCATCTAATGATTATTCTGTATGTTGTAATGGTTTGTATACCCCTCTCTCTTTTGGGAGAAATCTGGATGATTCGTAACACAAAACTGCTGTTACATCTGGAATTCTGCAGAATGTCTCCCCTAAGTGGTTGTTTGTTCAGTTTCTCATGCCGCTTAGGGTGTGTTTCTTGGTTTTGAGGAGTGGATGGGTCTACACAATGGAGAAGTTGAGTAAAATTCAGACATCTGTTGCAAAATGCCCCTCGCGTCCCGTACAATGTGTCCCTCCCGTTGAGCTCACGGATGAATGTCCGTGTTGAGTCAGAGGGCGTCAGTACAGACTGAACCGTGATGTCAGAGTCCACAATGTCCAAAAGGGTGGTGAGTTTCCACTCAATGTTCTGTTCCCTTTCCCCTCTCTCTGTCTCTCTCTCTCTCTCTCTCTCTCTCTCTCTGTAGCTCCAGCAGTCTTCTACCGAGCTGCCTCCTTTACGAGACGCGGCACACGAACACCACATCGAGAAGAGGGAAACGCACAAGGGCGAGCTGTCTCAGCTGACCAATCTGGTGAGATTTCTTGAAAGTGAAGGGGGGGGGGAGGTTATGAAAAAGTCTAAACACAAAGAAAGTGAGTGAAACATTTTTCACTCACTTTCACACTTTTCAGCTGGCCATGCCGAGAGACCATCTTAAAGTGCCCCTATTATGGGTTATGAAAGGTTCATATTTTGGTTTTGGGAGTTTCCAATAACAGGTTGACATGCATGCAAGGTCAAAAAACACTTTCATGGTCTTATAATATGCATTTATTTTTACCTTACTTCCTTAACGACTCCTAAATGATTCGCTCAACGATTAATTTTTCCAAAGCCCTCCTTTGCGTGATGCTAATCTGCGGTGATTGGTTCGATCGGTCTCATTTTAATGTCATCATGCCTGATGCCTGATAAAGCAGCGTTTGTGAGCACAGTGCTGCTTTGTGTACAGCGTTACCGGGGAAACCGCTATTTTTACCGCTCCAAAAGCCGGCACCTAATGGCAGAGAATGAATTTGCATTTTCATTCAGACCATTGCGAAAAGACCCAACAAGTGGGCGGGCAATATGCTAATGTTTCATGCTGACTTCAACATGAAACGGCTTGGGATTTGTTTTAAAAACGACTTGTTTCACTGATTCAGGGTCGACTCTTTCTTTTGAGAGACAATAACTTTATACAGGGTGCACTTTCAGATTTATAACTTTGCAGGATGTTTTCATTCACTTAGAGCTGTGTTACACACTGCATGAAAGGTAATTTTCAAAAATCCATAATAGGGGCACTTTAA